CTGCCCGTTCACCGGGGGAAGAAGGGCCAGCTCCTGCCAAGGCTCAGGGGCCTCCGGGGTTAGAGGTGGAGGCACCCGAGCCTCTGGAGGCAGCTGAGAAGAGTGCATCATGTGTGGGCATGCTAAAGACAAACCTGGATGGCAGGGGCCTGACGCCACACCCGCCTCCTCCGGGGGCAGCTCCTGCGGGCCTGTCCACTTCCAAGGCCAGGGTCCGCCCGGGCGAAGGTTCCCTTCCGCTTCGGATGCCCAGCGGGGCACTTCTGGAAACAAAAGCTCCTCCTGCTGGGCCTGTGGGCCTGGACCTCGCTGAGGGAGAGGGGAGGGCGGAGAAATGGTCCTCCCAGCCCGAAGGTCCTGTTAAACTGAAGGTGTCCAGGACCGACGGGCCGTCCCAGGTTTCCGTGGTCAGCGTGGGTCAGCCCTGGGAGGGCTCCGTGGTAACTGTCAGACTACCCCGGCTGAGCATGCCGAGGTTCGCCTTCCCTGACCCCGGCTCGGAGGCCGACGTCTTCATCCCCACCGTGCAGGAGGTGCAGTGTGCCGGGAGCAGCCTGGACGACGCCTTGCGCACGGAGAGCCCGGGAGCCTGGGGCGCCAGCATCCTGAAGGCCGGCGCTGGAACCCCCGAGGAGCAGCCCGTGGCCTTTGACCTCTCCCCGGAAGCTTCCAGGGTCCGAGTGCACATTCACGGTGCGCAGGGAGAGGGTCCCGGGGTCGGCGTACATGGCGTGGTGACGGCAGAGCTGGCCGACCTCTCGGGACCCGAGGCCGTTTCCACCCAGGTTGTGCGGGAATCAGAGATCCCCGTGTCCGAGATCCAAACCGCTTCTTACGGATTTTCATTGCTGAAATTGAAGATCTCTGAGCCCCCCACACAGGGGAGGGTCCGAGACTCCCGGCCAACGGTGGGCTTCCAGGAGGCTCCCGAAGAAGCCGGCCCCAGAGCAGACCCCGTTTCTGGAGACCTGCAGCCAGACACCAGAGAACCATTTGAAGTGATCGCGTCCAGCCTCAGCGTACCTGGAGGCCCAGCACTCACCGCCGACCTGCGCTCTGGCCACGCGGATGTGGAGAGCTGCTCCGACGAGGAGCCCGCGGAAATCCTCGAATTTCCCCCCGAAGAGGATGGCGAGGAGGCTGCCGAGGGCCTGGCCGAAGGAGACCAGGCTCCGAAAGAGAAGCCGGAAGGTAAGAGGTCTTCCGGTCTGTTCCGATTTTGGCTTCCCAACATCGGTTTCTCTTCTTCCTCCGAAGAGACATGTGCTGACTCCAAAGATGAAGCCCGTGGGCCAGCCCCCATCCAGACCCCGCCGAGTTCGCAGCCTGAGGCAGAGCTGCCCAAGAAACCCGAGAAGGCGGGCTGGTTCCGATTCCCCAAATTAGGGTTCTCCTCCTCCCCCACCAAGAAAAGCAAGAGCTTGGAGGACGAGGCAGCTCCGGCAGAGCAAAAGCTCCAAGAAGAAGCCGTCACCTTCTTTGACGCCTGCGAGAGCTTCTCCCCCGAAGACAAGGAGGAGGGGGTGCCGGGCGCCGGGGCCATGGTCACGTCCACAGCCAGGACGGAGCTCATCCTGCTGGAGCCGGACCCGGGGGCCCCGGACGAGCCTGCGCCCGTGCCTGCTGCCCAGTGAGGACGGGAGGAAGTGGAGGCTGTGCCCTGCGCCCCGCGTGTGCACACGAGTGTCCACTGTGACCCCCAGAGCAGAGGACGAAGCGGAGCCGGCTGCGAGCAGAGGGGCCCCCGCTCCCGGCCCTCCCGAAGTGGGGCCCCCAGTGTGCTGCCTCCCAAGGCCTCAGGAGGGGTCCCGGCTCCCGAGGGTCTTTATTAGACACGTGTTACTCAAGACCCCTGCCCACGAGCCCCTCGAGAACACAGCCGCTGCGTCCTGGTGAAGGCTATTTCCCTGTTGCCGGCAGAGTCTGCCACAGTCCAGGAGACCGTCTCCCTGCCCGCTTAGAGCTGGCCCACTCTTCAGGGGCCGTCTCGCCGAGGCAAGCCCTGGGATGCTTTGAGTGATGCCCGTGCTGGGCTGGGCGCAGCAGGCCGCTGAGTGGTCCAGGCGTCCATCCGTGAGTGCCCTCTAGATGCCCGTGGGCATCCACTTGCCCTCTCTGGCGTGCGTGGCCCCCAGCCTCTCTGTGCCTGAAGATGGGACCCACTTGGCTGCTCCCTGGACCCCGAACGGGCCATAAATAAAGCGCTGCCCACCTCCCGTGACGGCTGCGAGTGTTCTGTTCTGGGTGGAGCTCATCTCTGCTCCCCCGCACACACCGCCTAACGGCTGCTAGGTTGCTCTGCCGGGCAGCGTCAGGGCGGCTCCCCCACCGCCTGTCTGCTTGGGGCCTCCTCCCCGCCCGCCGCTCTGAGAGACCGAGGAGGAAGGTGCGGACCCAGGGCTCCACCACGAGGCCGGGGACAGGCTGCCCTGAGCTGGGAGGCTGCGCCAGGCCAGGGCCGTGGGCAGCGCAGGGGTGGCCCAAGGGGCGGAGGGCCCTGGCCCAGAGGCTTCACTGGTCCTCAGCCACCACAGCGGCCCGGCTCAGGGCTCGCTGGACCACGGCAGCCGTCCTCGCCAGCTGCCCACGGGAGCAGGACGCAGAACAAGGTCAAGGGAGCGTCCTACACCCCTTCAGGGTCGCAACTCCTCCCCATGGCCTTCAGAGGCCCTTTCTGGGCCCGTGAGCGTGCAGCGCTCCATGGGGGGCCTGGAGCCTGGCCCTCCCTGCTGCCCGGGGGAGGTCCCTGGAGCCTGGGCACCTCACTGCTGCCCGGAGAAGGTCCCTGGAGCCTGGGCACCTCACTGCTGCCCGGGGGAGGTCCCTGGAGCCTGGCCCCCTCCCTGCTGCCCGGGGGAGGTCCCTGGAGCCTGGCCCCCTCCCTGCTGCCTGGGGGAGGTCCCTGGAGCCTGGCCCCCTCTCTGCTGCCCGGGGGAGGTCCCTGGAGCCTGGCCCCCTCCCTGCTGCCCGGGGGAGGTCCCTGGAGCCTGGGCACCTCTCTGCTGCCCGGGGGAGCTTCCTGGAGACGCCTCCTTCTGCTCCGAGAGGGACACCTGTTGTAAACACTGAGGGCGGGGCGGGGAAGCTGCAGGACTCCGGGCCCAGAGCGCTGCCCGCTCCCCTCCCCCGCCCGCCCTCCCTCCGGAGGGAAGTCACAACTCCAGTGGGGGCCGGCAGGGAAGGGCCCCCCAGTCAGAGATGTGGAACCCTCTGGAAGCTGGGGAGGGGGGACTCAGTGGGGACTTGGTCTCACAGTCCAGGAGGCTACAGGAGCCTCTCCTGGCCCCAGGGGGAGAAGACAGGGGAGCCCAGCCCCCGGGAAACACCGTGGTGGGGGTCAGCCTGGCTCGTGGGCTTCACGCCTCTGTGCCCACAGTCACGTCTGACTTATCGGGGCCGTGGTGCTGGAGGCCCTGGGGAGCCCTCTGCCGTGCGGGCGGCCTCCGTTCTGACAGCGTGAGTGTGTCGCCTATGCGGTGTGACAGCACCACACACGATGGGCTTGAAGCCCCGCGCCTCCGTGCCCCCGTCTCTGTGGGTCGGGGGTCCAGCCTCAGCTCAGTCGGGTCCCACGAGGCCCCTGTCTCATCTCCAGATGCAACCTTTGGAGGAGCCATCTCACAAACTCACGGAGCAGCCCCCGGTGGTCAGATCCTTGCCGGCTGGGTGGCTCAGGGCCCCGTTCCTCACTGGCTGGAGGCTGCTCTCGCGGCACTGCCTCGGGCTTGGCTGACGGACAGCTCACAGCACCTTCCTGCGTCCCGCAGCGGGGGTCGGCCCCCGGCGAGAGATGCGAGCACCCCGTACCACTAACCGCCTGTTCATCCTACCCATTCAAGTGAGGCGGACATGCCCCCCGTCCAGGAAGCAGAGCTGTCCACACAAGGGCCTGGGTCCAGGGTCCTCAGGGGCAGGCTCTGTCCCCCACACCTGGAAGGAGCCCCCAGGCCTCTCGAGCCTCATCACGCTGGGTCTCCCGGGCGGAGAGAGGATCGTGCTTTGGAGCAGGCCTCCGCAGCTGGTCACCAGACCTGGCATATGTAGGGCAGGCCTTGCCCTGGCTGTGGGCCTTTGCTGTCTCCCCATCACGGCCTGGACCATGGCCGAGCGGCCAGGGGAGCAGGGCGGTTCTGGGCTCCACTGCTCCTGGGGCACAGCTGGGGTGGGGGGCGGGGGGGCGGGCACCGGGGGCAGCTCACACACAGACCAGCTCCCGGGCACGCTGGATGCCTGGGAGGCCCGCGTGGAGCTGTGGCATCCTCTCCCGACCCCCACGGGTCAACAGGCACCCCGCTGGCTCTCTCTGAGATCGTGAGGACTCAGGGCCCGGGGGTGGCAGCTCGGGGTGGGCCTGGCGTCCCCTCGATGGCCCCCTCGGCTGCCAGGGTCTCTTGGACATTGAACCAGCCCACAGCTCTAGCCTCAGGCGGCCTGGGGGCCTCTGCCAGGGCAGGTGGGCTCTGAAGCCAAGGTCAGAAACCAGGAGGTGGTGAGCTGAGGCTGAGACAGGCCTCTGACCCAGCACTCCTAGCAGAAGGGCAGAAGCGAGTCGTCGAGCTAGGATTCCGGTCCCGCCTCTGCAGGGCAGGTACGGGCGAGGCCCGGGGAGGATGAGCTCCGTGGGGCTGCATCAAGCTGCACCCAGCCTGGTGTCACCCTCTGTTCCAGCTCACACCTGGGTCTTCCCGACTACCCACCGGTCCTGGTCCCACGTACCAGGACGGGGTGCCACAGTAGCGTGGCCTCCACAGGCCTGGGGCCCCCGCCTGGGCACAGCCCCACCCCCACAGGCCCCTGTCCCCCGCTTCTTGCTGAACCCGTCCTCGAGTTCCTGCGGTCCCAGGACTGCACACCCTCGAGAGTCAGAGGCTCCCACGGTAGACGCCTGGCATCGCCTTGGTGTGGCCTCATAGACACAGACCCCTCGCACGTGGATTGAGGCCGAGCAGAAGCGGGCGCGGCCCCACAGTGGACACACACAAGAGACTGGCACACGCGTGTTCTCGAGGCCCCACTTGTGGACAGGAGTGGCGGCTCCGTGGGAGTCAGGGAGGGGTGTCCCGGAGGGCTCCCTGGAGGAGGTCGGGGGGGGGATTTCAAAGGGGCTAGATTTGGAGAGCAAGCAGTCTGTGTCCGCCCTGCAACCCGACCAGGGCTGGTGCAGGTGAAGCTGCTTGGAGTCCAGGCTGGGGGCCAGGCAAGGCAAGGAGGCCCCACCCTGCTGGCAGGAAGGGCCGAACCTCAGCCCTGCCAAACACAGTCCTGGCCCTGGGCCTGTCCGTCGAGGCCCACGGCGTAGTGGGAGTTCCAGTCTCGCTCGAACAGCTGCCGTAGCTGCTCCTGCACGGTGCTCACTCGTGGCGGGGTGCCGGGGGCCCTCTGGCTGACCACCAGGCCCACACCCGAGGTGCTACTGAAGTAATCTTCTGACCAGTTGGACGTGCCTGCGGGCGGCAGGTGTGGGAGGCTGGGGCCGGGGCCGCACGGGTCCCTCTGCTGCCCCGCCCAGCCCGGTGGCCCCTGTGGCCGCTGAGGAATGCGACCAGCTCCAGACCGGAGGGGCCGCACCCCTGCCTGCCTGCAAACTCGGGGCTCGGGGAACTCTGTACGGGGATTCCCCACCCGCCCTGTGGGGCCGGCTGACCACTGGGCTGGCCTCCTCCGTGGGTCCTGAGCCCTTCCGCATGCAGGCCCCCTGCCTGGGGGTCCACGCTGAGGGGGAGAGCCCAGCCCCCTCCAGCGCCGCGGCCCCCGCCTGAAGGACAGAAGCCCCACGCAGGCTGGGGTGGCCGTGCCTGGAGCCCAGGAGGACGCGGGCCGCCGCCAGGCTCACCTATGTAGGCCGCCTTCTCCGTGACCATGAACTTGCTGTGGTTCACCCTGCTGAAGGGGATGTTGGAGTGGTTCCCCACGGGCACGATGAAGACTTTCTTGGGGGGACAGAAAGGGCGTGTCAGGGGGTGGAGAGGTCGCTGCCCCACCCGGCCCAGGGGCGCGTTCTCACCACGTCCAGGGACACGTTGGCCGCAGGGTTGCTGAGCGCCTGCAGGGACCGCAGAAAGGGGAACATCCTGGGGTCCGTGTTGAGCCAGCAGCTGACCAGTAGGCGCACGCGCACCCCCCTGCTGAAGGCCGCCACCCGCAGCGCCGTGTCCAGCACTGGCCAGTACCTGGGGGAGGGGCACGGCAGGGTCAGGGTCCTTGGGCCAGTGGGGGCCCTGCCGGCCTGCCCCGAGGGGGTCCCCACAGGTGAGAAGACGGCAGCCCGGCCCCCAGCCGGCCCACCTGGCAGGGTGTCTGAAGCGCGTGGTGGGGAAGTACTCCATCACCGAGGCGTAAAGGAACTCCTGGGCGGCCCCCATGACTGCCAGCAGCGCATCCAGGTCGCGGGTGCGGCCGTGGGGGCAGAGAGCAGGCGGCGACGCCTGTGGGTGAGAGGTCCCTGAGAGGCCTGGCTCTGAGCTGCTTGGTTACTGGGCCCGCGACCCCAGCACATACCACCCTCCAGCCCCGGGCACCAGGATGAAGGCAGGAGGCGCAGCCCGCAGGGCTGGGGCCCTGGGCTGGCCTGACCCTGGAGGAAGCTCCCTGGGGGGCTCGGCCGGACCCCCACATCTGGGGACATGCCCCTGCCTCTGAGGCCAGGTCCCCACTGTAACTGAGCCCTGGGGTAGCTGCCCATACCCCAAGGAAGGTTCCTGGCTGGTGGCTGTGGCCGCCCGCCCCCCAGTTCCCTCCCCGCTCCGGCGGAGCGACAACATTGCTGATGCCCTGGTCCTCCCCCAGACCCTTCCTGGTCCTGAGTCAGACCCCAGCCAGCGATGTGCGTGGAGGCTCCAGGGCCATGGGGCATCCCCTGCCACCCAGGCTGCCTGTCTCCCGTGGATTACGACGGCCACGTCTTCTACTGGGGTCACCCCAGGACCACAGCCCCGGACCTTGCAGATGCCGGGGTCTGCAGGGCAGGGCTGGGGTGGGTGGGACTTCCTGTGGGCATGGCCGGCCAGAGAGCAGGGGCTCAGAAGGGCCTCCGGGCCTGTCCACCCTTACCGAGAAGTAGGCAGTGGTGGGCACCCCATCAAAGCGATCCCGGAGTGGCTGGAAGCGGTTGATGTGGGAGGAGAAGTTCCGAGGCCAGGGCTTGGGGAGGACGGCCCTGGGTGCCCCCAGCACCCAGTAGGTCTGGAAGGTCTTCTCCAGGTCCTGGGCCAGGCGGCTGCAGTTGTAGATGACGGCCCCGAGCTCCTTCACCTGTGTGCACCCGGGTCGTGCTGTGGGATGGGCCCTCTGCGGGGCTGGGCGGACCCCCCACCCCACCCCGGCCCAGGGCTGCCGGGGAGGCACACGCCTTCCTGGGCAGCCAGTCTGGAGGGGAGCCCAGCGGGTCCCTGCTTTTCTTAGACATTATGTTCCAAGGGCAATACATGTTCATTGCCCAAAAACAATAGAAAGCATCAACGCTCAAAGGAAAACAAGTCGTTCTTCACTGGTAATCGACAACCGCTGCCAGCCTTTTGACTGATGGCTGAAGCGCTGCTTTTCCTGGAAGGGTTCCTGCTTTGTCCGCAGGGCCCCTTGGACACGGTGACCTGACCGTGTTTCTGGGCGGGTAAGCGACCTTCTGCACCGGGAGTTCAGTGCCTTTAGAGTCCCGTAACCAGTCTCTGGGTGTTTCTACCGCGGGGGCGTTACAGACCTGGCTGCGTTCCCCCAGGATGACTGCCCACAAGGGGATGTCAGGGGCGCCAGGGTGGACGAGCTCCGGAGGGCCTCCCCTCCCGGGGCGCGGGGACTCACCTGTGTCAGGGACCGCCAGTCCATGTTGGCACTGCCCACATAGACGTGCTGCCCGTCCACCACCCAGAACTTGGAGTGCAGAACGCCGCCAGTGAGCCTTCCCATGGGCACACGTCGCACCTGGGCACCTGACAAGGGTGCAGGGAGGTGGGCTGAGCCCGAAGCGGGCTGAGCCCAGTTCCTTCCTCCTCACGGCAGTCCTCCTCATGGATGGTGTCCTCACCCCACTTTACAGGTGGGAAGACGGAGGCGTCAGTCGGCCCAGGGCCCCCCCAGTCGGTCTGGCCCTGTGGGGACTGTCCCCGTGGCCTCTGGCTCCCCGCTGAGCCTCCACCCACAGCTCAGAGCGCTGGACGCAGCAGGCCCCAGAGGCCACCGTGTGCTCTGCCCCGTGGGAAACGACACATCTGGCCCCTGGAACCGGCCCCCAGGGAGGCCCACTCAGAGGCGCTTGCAGCCCCAGGCTCCCAGCCTCCCCCCAGGCAGCCCCACAGCTCTTGCTGGTCCCCGGGCCCAGGACAGCAGGCACCCACCCACCTCGGGTTTCCAGGACCTGCAAATCAGTGGAGTTCTTGGCCGGGGTCGGGGTGCTGGTGGCCACAGCCAGGGACACGTTTCTGTCCAGCAGCTGCTGCAGCTTTTGCAGGAGGGCCTCGCCCTGTGAGAGCAGGCCAGGATGAGAGAGAGATTACCCCATCCCACAAGGAGGGGCCTAGATCTCCCCCGAGGCGGCCCCAACTGCCCACAGCTCGGCCAGACAGACGGGCAGCCTGCTGGCCTTGCTGTGTGCCTGACCCAGGCACAGCCCGCAGGCTCCGGGTCAGGGGCGAGGGCCACGCACCGGCTGGGAAGACGAGTCGTTGACCCCGATGTCGGGCCCCGTGAGGGACCAGTAGAAGGAGGCCACGTGGACGCTCTCTCGGGCGGCGTCCAGCAGCTGCATCCAGGCCTGGGCCAGGGGCTGGGCAACCGGGCTGCCTGCTGCCGACCACAGGTCCTGGGGGATGCTCTCCACGAGGACGAGCCTGCAGAGGAGGGGCCGGGTGTGAGCGCAGGAGCGGCCGGCCAGCCTCACGTCACCCGCGCAGTCCTGGTCAGCAAGCGGGACGCAGAGCCCAGGCCAAGGGGCCGGGCCGCAGGCTGGACGGAGCAGGTGGGCCTGACACCAGGAGTGCCCCAGGGCGCCTGCCTGAGTGGGGGGTTGGTGCCCAGTCCCCACCCCCACCCAAGCCCGGCACGCTCCCTTCGGAGCTGTTGGCTCTGGGCTCCTGTGGGTATGGAGGCCCTTGGAGTCACCACGGCTGATCCAGAGGGAGGGGCTGGGTCAGGGGGTGCGCTGGGGGGCTCTGAGGCTCCAGGCCCTGCAGGGGGCGGGAGGGGCTGGGTCAGGGGGTGTGCTGGGGGTCTCTGAGGCTCCAGGCCCTGCAGGGGGTGGGAGGGGCTGGCCCTGTGACCCCACCCCGGGTGGGAGGGCTGCGATGACCACCTCGTCCAAGTCCCAGGTGACAGCCTGTGTCTGCTGCCAAGAGCATCCCCATCCCGCCCTTACCATCAGGGCCCCCCCTTCCCAGACCACTCCCCCTGCCTCCAGCCCACCCTCCCAGAACCTGCCTCTTCCCAGAGGAGGGGACCAAGGGCGGTGCTTGTCCCTCGGGGGAGACCCAGGCTGGGAAGGCAGGGGGCGCCCGGGGCAGAGCCTCGCGGGCTTGCCCGGCTGCCGCCCCACGGAGCGCACGGCTTGCTCACCGGCAGGAGTCGATCTGCTGATGCCGCCGCCAGGCCTCCCCTCCTGGGGGATCCCAGTCCACAGGGGAGCCAAGGCCCCCAGGCCTGGCGGGCCCTTCCTCAAGGCAGCTCCGGCTCCAGGCGGAAGGGGAGGACCCCAGCCCCAGGAGGCAGGTGAGGGTCACAGCACCCAGGCACAGCAGCACGAGCATACCCCGCACCTGCAGCTGGAGGAAGACATCACCCGGGTCCCCAGGGGCCACACTCTCCTGAGCCGGTCCTGGCCACTCTAGTGCTGAGACAGACCTCCCCTGGCTGGCCAGGGCAGGCCTGAGGCCATGGCCTAGGGACTGGCCGTGTCCCCGGCTCCTCCAGACAGGCGCCAGCAGCCCCTGGGCGGGGAGTCCTGGCCCCTCGTGGCTCCTTCTGCCCCTGCCGCTCTGGCCCGGGGGTCCTTTGCCATGGCTCAGCCCCTCCCATGGGCCCCCAGCCTCGCAGTGCTGACTGCCCTGTCCCGCAGGCCGCGGGGCAGTGTGGTGCCAGGCCACGCCGAGGCCACCCGTATGCTCAGCAGAGGCCTCAGCCCCTGGGCGGGGTGACCGGCATCACCTGCAGCTCTGGGCCTGGGCGCAGTGAACCCCACGCTCCCGGGCAGCTGGGCACCAGGGGGGCCACCTTGCGGGGACCCTGCAGACCTCATTCCTGGTGGGGCCTCACCCTGGCCTGGCCTGACACTGTTGAGTCCGTCACCCACCACTACTGCGTGTGCATGTACACATGTGTCCGGTGTGTGCCCGGGGCACGTATGACCTGCTGGTTCCCCTCTCGGCAACCCCCCAGGGCTGTGTGGGCGTCTGAATCTCAGTTCCTCGTTTCAACCACAGCGAGTCTGCCTCCATTTCTGCTTTCAGGCTGGGTCCTCTCGAGGGTGGTTCATAAATAGCTGCTTCCCTTCCCGGGCTGGGCCCCCCATCCTGGCCCTATGCTGGCCCCTCCTGGGAGCTGGGCAATGACCCTGGTCCTGGATGGGGGGCCTGGTACAGACAGAGTGTTGTTTTTCTGGGGGCCAGGGGCTAGGGGCTGAGCTGGGCCCTGGGCTGAGGGCTGAGTCAGGACCCCTTGATGCTGGCGGGGGTCTCCCTCTGTCCCAGAACCCTGCAGCCAGCTGGGGATGGAGGTCTTGCCCCCTCAGAGTGGTCACTCTCACGAGGAGCTGGGAGCCAGGTGGACTGGACCCTGGTTGGAGTTGGTCCCCAAAGCAGACTCAGTGGCCACCCTGAACGGGACGCTCCCCAGCTCTGAGTGAGGCTGCCTTCCCTGGAGTGCGGGGCGGGGTCCGTGCACAGTGACGTGGTCCTCCCAACCCCGCTCCCCCACGCCCACCACCAGCCAACTTCCGAGGCTCCCGTCAGGGGCAGGTGCAGCCCTCCCTCCCGGCCTTGATGGCAAGGGGCCCCCGCCGCCCGGGACCTGGGGCTGGGGTCACGCTGCCCGCCTGTGAGCACAGCTCGGCTGGGCACCGGGGCCAGGGAGCCAGGCTGTCCCCGGGCTCTGGGGGTGCCCTCCCGCAGGGCCCCCGGCCGGCCTCCATGGGGGAGGGGCAGCCTTGGGAGCCGGGCCTGGGGAGTGAGGGCGGCGGTCTGCCTTGAGCAGAACCATCACAGGGTGGTGGGGGCCCCGGAGTGAGAGAGGGGGCTCAGAACTCAGGGGCCCTTCAGATGGGAGTCTGGGTCCTCACCTGCACCCTGAAGAGGGGAGCTTGGGGGCCTGCCACCCCCTTCCCTGCCCCAGTGTGGGCTCCCCAGACCCTTCCCTGACACTCGGGAGTGGCGATCGGGGTGCAGTCCTGCACGGGGCCCAAGGCCGTGTGCCCTGCTACAGCGCCCGGGGGGCCCCAGGCTCAGGAGAAGGTGGGCGTGCCCTGCCCCCGCAGCCCCATCCAAGGGGTGCCCAGCTGAGGCGCCTGCCAGGCCACCTACCCCCTTGGGAACTACAAGGGCTTGGGGAGGCTCGCCATTCAGGGGTTTCTGGGCAGCTTGACCCTGAGGACCCCGTGTGTCCAGGGGTAGGACTGGCTGTTGGGAGAGGGTGACCCACCAGCGCCGGCATCTCAAGGCTGTGTTGGGCTGGGAGACCCCCGGGGGGCAGCTCCAAGCTCCCCACGCCCTGTGCTGGGCAGGCTCACCCCAGGCTGAGCTCGCTGGGAGACCCCAGACCCTGGCGGGCCCAGCTGCAGAAACCAGCAGAGGGAGGGCTGGTCCGCAGGCCCCGCGGGAGCTTCGTGGTGCTTTGGGCCCAGGCAGCTGGCAGCGCTGGTCAGGAGGCAGTGGACAGAAGCCCCCCCTTCTCAGGGCCCTCGGTCTGGCCCTCCCATCTGGCTTCGCTGGCTCTTACCTCCGAGGGTCCCGCCTTGGAGTTCATCTTGGCTTCGCCACAGACGCAGGCCCTCAGCTTGCAGGCCATTACTGCGATCACCTCCCACCTGCCTCCGCTCTGCAGCTTGCTGCTTCCCCTTCTGGCCACTTCCTCTTCATCCTGCATACCTCCCTCTGCACCCTTGACAGACATCTGGAGCCGGGTGAGCCAGCTAGAGGGTGGGGCTGAGAACTTTCACGGCCGGAGAAAATCCCTCCCCACCTCCCACCCCCAAGTCACAGGCCTGTGCATCCGAGTTAGGTTTGGTGCAAACCATGTGGCGCTAGTGTTTTGCCTGCTAATGCCAGAGGCTTAAGAGATGTGGGTTCGATCCCCGGGTTGGGAAGATCTCCTGGAGAAGGGAATGGCAACCCACTCCAGGATTCTTGCCTGGAGAATCCTATGGACAGAGGAGTCTGGCAGGCTACAGCCCATGGGTTGCACAGACTTGGACATGACTGAAGTGACTTGGCATGCACACATGCATCGAGACTCAAAGAACCAGGTCTTGAGCAACATTGTTTATTTCTCCATAGTACTGGCCGCCTAGGGATGGTATTGGCCTTGCAGCCACTGGGAACCAGGTCCCCGCAGCTCTCAGTTCCCAATCCCTAGGATTAACGGGCAGCCTCATGGCCGCACAGTGACTGCCGGAGCTCAGTCATCGCCTCCTGTTCCTAGCAGAACAGGATGTAATGGCAGACATCCTAGAAGACATCCTGGAAGTCTCACAGGGCACTTCCACTCATGTCTCATGATTCAGAACCTAGTCACATGGCTGCATCTAGCCTCAAGGGAGTCTGGGAAATGGAGGCAGGTGGGACCTCTGTGCTGGAGAATGCAGGTTGGCCACTCCCTGGGCTGTCTGAAAAGGCAGGCTGGCTGTAGTTTGCTCGGCCTGGGTTCCCAGCGCGGGTGTTTCCTCCTTCGCCCCACCCCCTCTCCCGTCTGCCTGGGACTCTCTGAGGACAGGACCCTTTCCCACGCCTTCATTCAAAGTCCTCTTTGGACTGGGTGGTTGCCCAGGCCCTGCCTCTAAGACCCCAGCAGGACAGGGCCGCAGGGGCCCTGTCCAGGGTGCTGACCTTCGGGTGACCAGGCAGAGGGTTCCTGGGCAGAGTCCTGGGGCTGGTGTGAGTGGGCTGAGAGGTGAAAGGGGAAGATGCCACTGGCTGCCCCCAGGCCTCTGAGCTTTCTTCCAGATACCCCGTCCCAGTTCAGCCTGGGGGTCTGCCCTCCTCTCCAGACCACAGCCGAGGTGGCCTCTGCTCCCGGGTAGGGTCACTGGACACCTGAGTCTACTGGCCCATTTTCCTTCAGTAATATCTTCACTTTCCAAGACCATGCTGGGTATTTTCAGAAGTGTTTCCCACCGTGCTCTGTGGTTATTGCATCTGGAGACACAGTGGCATTGAGTGTGGCTGCAGCTTGCAGGCCCCTGAAGACGAAGCACGCTTGCCAGTCACGGGATCTCCTCCTCTGTGAAGCCTTGCTTGTATTTTTGCTGTTTTTAATGAAGATTTGTTGACGTTGTCTCATTGGTTTGAAGGGCTTGCCGTATCCTCTGAGTCATCAGTCTTATAAGTGTAGCAGCGTCTTCTCTTCTCTGCTGCTTCATTAGACTTTTTCTCTGCAGAAAGTCTCAGACACGCACACTGGAGGGGAGAGCGTAGCGAGCAGCCGTGATGTGCAGCTTAGACTCCACAACTGCCGACACACACCACCTCTGTGTCAGGAGGGAGTTTTCATTTTATTTGCTTATTTATTTTATTCTTTATTTGAGGCTGTGCTGGGTCTTTCTCCAGCTGCAGCCAGTGAGGCTGCTTTCTCGTTGCAGTGCGCGGCTTCTCATCGTGGTGGCCTCTCTTACTGTGGAGCAGGGCCCCTAAGGTGCGCGGGCTTCGGTAGCTGCAGCTCCCGGGCTCTGCGGCACAGTCTCAGGAGTCGTGGCACCCGGGCTGAGTTGCTCCATGGCATGTGGGAGCCTCCCAGGGGCCAAACCCATGTCTTCTGCATTGGCAGGCGGATTCTCTACCACTGAGCCAGCAGGGAAGCCCCCAGGAAGGAATTTTAAATTAAAGAGGAATTATACAACACAGGGACTAGAGTCAAATTTTTATAAACACAAGTGGAGTATAACCATTAAATGTTGTGAATCACTATATTGTTCACCTGCAACTTATATAATGAAGTGAAAGTTGTTCAGTTGTGTCCGACTCTTTGTGACCTCATGGACTATACAGTCCATGGAATTCTCCAGGCCAGAACACTGGAGTGGGTAGCCTTTCCCTTCTCCAGGGGATCTTCCCCACCCAGGGATCAAACCCAGGTCTCCCCCACATTGCAGGAGGATTCTTTACCAGCTGAGCCACAGGGGAAGCCTAAGAATAATGAATTCCCTTTTCCAGGGGATCTTCCTGACCCAGGAATTGAACTGGTGTCTCCTGCATTGCAGGCAGATTCTTTACCAACTGAGCTATCAGGGAAGCCCATAACTTATGTAATATTGTATTATAAATCAACTATACTTCAATAAAAGTAAATAAATGAACAGAGGACATGGGGAACATTTCACTTCTAAATACTTCAGTGTGCCTTTCTAAGTAAACAAATTTCCTACAGGATCACTCCTAAAAAAATCAACAATTCCTTAATTTTATCAATTTCATGGTTCATTCTTGTCTTCATCCGTCCCGGCTGCTGTAACAGACTGAGGTGCTTGTACAGTTCTGGGGGCTGAAAGTCCAGTGTCAAGACACTGGCTGATCTGGTGTCTGGTTCTGGCTGCTGCATGGTGGGTGGCTGGACTTCTCACTGTCTTCCTCCTTCCTGGTGGGAGGGGCCAGGGAGCTCCCTGGGTTTCTTTTTGAGGGCACTAATCCCATTCCCAGGGGCTCCAGCCTCATAACATAATCACCTCTCCAAGACCCCACTTCCTAATAGCATCACATTGGGGGTTAGGTTTTAAAGACAGGAATTTGGGGGGACGCTAGACATCCGTCTATAGTGATGTTAAAACTTTCACCAACTTTCACTAATTGTCACCAAGTTGTCATTTATAGCTGACTTGTTATTGCATCCAGCTGAGGTCCCCACACTGAGTTTGGTTTTTACGTCCCTTAAATCACTTCCTCACCCTCACCCCACCTGAGACAACCTTTCCACTGCCTCCCCTTCCGCTCATGGAGTCTCTGTTCCTCTTGCCCGGGCTCCTCTACCAAGAAGTGAGTTGTAAAGCCTGGTTATGACAGGGATAGAATGAAGGGACAAAATGGGTGATTAAATAGTTACTCCCACTAGGGAAGTGTAAATAGGAAACTTGAGAGACCCCTGTAAGTTAATGATAACCGAGAAAGCAGGGTTTCTTAACCACAGAACCAAGCAGGCTGGCTTAGCAACAAAACCACTCAGCAGAAGCCCGGGACAGGCCCTCACACAATAAAACACGATGGCCTGAGGCCCACATCCTGCCAGGGAGCTCAGTCAGTTAATGAGCCCTAGGACGTGCTCTTTCCACCCATGAAAACTGGTAATTTGTGGACCTAGCTTGACCATGTAGGGACAGGAAAACTCCCCTGCTCAACCTGGAGGCAGAGCCAATAATGGAAGCATGACGTCTACTCAGAAAGACAAAGACGGTCTTCTCCCCTCCCCACTCTTCCTTTGATGATAAAACTGCAGCCCAGTAAGTGCTCGGGGCTCGGCACTCCTCGCCCTCCTGCTCACCGGCCGCACAAGCGTCCTATTCAACAAGTCACTTCTCATCTACCACTTCCAGTCTCAGGCGGCGGAGCCCTGGCGAGGATGCCAGCGGGAAGTGCTGCGTGACGCCGTCCCCGAGCTCGGCGTCCCCTCGGGGTCCGGCTCCCACGCCGTCAGTGGCACGAAGCCTGGTGGTCATCAGACTGGACCTCCTTCCTTGCCCTTGGTGAGCAGCCTGAGGATGAGCACTCGGGTGCCCCGCAGTTCCCATGCTCCAGCTGTGTCAGGCGGCTTCAGACCCTTTGGTCTTCTGAGTTTATCATTCTTCTATGTTACTCCTGACAGTCCTCTGTAAGGAAGTTCCTGTTGATTATTCCCACTCATACGTGACATCACAAGGTCGTCTTTTTTTTCTTTTTTCTTGTATTATTTTCCCCCACTTTTGTTTGTTTAGTCTAAGGGGTTCTCAAGAATCTTCTCAAAAAAAAAAAAAAATCTTCTCCAATACTACAGTTCAAAGGCATCAGTTCTTCCGCACTCAGCCTTTTTTATTCTCCAGCTCTCACATCCTTACATGACTACTGGAAAAACCATAGCTATTTGCACTTTTGTCAGCAAAGTAATGTCTCTGTTTTTTAATACATTGTCTAGGTTTGTCATGGATATTCTTCCAAGGAGAAAACATCTTTTAATTTTATGGCTGCAGTCACCTTTCAATTGAACTGTGGTTGACTCGTAATGTTACATTAATTTTAGGTGTATGACATAGTGATTCAATAAGTCTATAGATTACACTCCATATAAAGTTATTACAATGTAACATAATTCTCTGTGCTGTACATTACATCCCTATAACTTATTCATTTTATTATACTTTTATTAAAAGTATTTATTTGGCTGTGCTGGGTCTTAGTTGTGGCACGTGAAGTTTTAGTTGCAGCGTAAAGGATCTAGGTCTCTGACCAGGGATTCAACCTGGGCCCCCTGCATTGCGAGCGCTGAGTCTTAACTACTGGGCCACCAGGAAGTCTCATAACTTACTTATTTTATACCCAGCAGCTCGCACCTATGCCCCCAGCTCCCTGGGGCAAGGAAAGCATGCCCCAGAGGGCACCCAGCCAGTCACAGGCAGGGAGTGAACTGTGAGAAGAGCCGTGATTGCGGCTTCTGCAGTCGGAGGGGTGAGGCAGAGCAGGCAGGTTCAGGCCAGTCGTGTCTGCAAGGGCCCAGCCCGGAAGTGGGTTCAGGTGAGTGAGATGAGTGTACACTTTGCAGCCGTGTGAGGATCCCAGGTACCCTCAGGCGAGTCTTCCTGTGCTCAGAGATGGCTGATAGGCCCTCAGCGGGATGAAGAAGCATCAGCTCACAGACAGCGATGTGCGGCTCACACCCTCCGAGGGCTGTTAGACCCCGCTCTCCAGCACAGCAGCCCGGCAGTGCCCACCGAGCTCGCCTCTCCGCAGGTCTGCGGCGCCTGCAGGACGGGCTGCCGTGTTCCTCCTTGCGTGTGTTTGTCCCGGTTTCCACCGTCTCCCGCACGTACCAGGCAGGGCCTGAGACTTTCCGTCTGACTCCATCTACACAAGAGCGTTTCGGGTTTCTGTTTTTTCCCATCCAAAGCTGGGGCAGAGACAGAGAGGTTTCTTCAACATTGAAGATGGGCGGGTTTCCGCCTTTGCAGCCTGACACAAAGCATGTCGCCCCTACAGAGGGCCCGGCTTTGTGCACCCCCGCCCCACCTGGGCAGGCCAGGGCCTGGGCCAGAGGCCATCAGGTATTGTTAGATTCACAATCTAATGTTTTCTTTAAACTATATTTACAGTACAAGGGTCCTAGGATAATTTTTGGGTTTAGTGATAGTAGTAGTAGAGGTAGGATGGGTAATGATATGAGAGCATTTTCTCGTGTGAAGGAGGGTGAGATGTTGTTAATATGATGAGTGTGTTTACCTCGTTGCGTTGTGATTCCGTGGGCCAGAGGTCATCAGGCCTTGGGTCAGAGGTCATCAAGCCATGGGCCAGAGGTCATCAGGCCTTGAGCCAGAGGCCATCAAGCCTTGGGCCAGAGGTCATCAAGCCGTGGGCCAGAGGTCATCAGGCCTTGGGTCAGAGGTCATCAGGCCTTAAGCCAGAGGTCATCAAGCCATGGGCCAGAGGCCATCAAGCCGTGGGCCAGAGGCCATCAGGCCGTGGGCCAGAGGTCATCAGGCCTTGGGTCAGAGGTCATCAGGCCTTAGGCCAGAGGTCATCAAGTCATGGGCCAGAGGTCATCAGGCCTTGAGCCAGAGGCCATCAAGCCTTGGGCCAGAGGTTATCAAGCCTTGGGTCAGAGGTCATCAAGCCTTGGGTCAGAGGTCATCCTCGGGTCAGAGGTCATCAAGCCATAGGCCAACTGCAGCTGAGTATGTTCCTTGGCATTCAGCGAAACATTTAAAAATATTTTTGTTGTCATTGATCCAACATCTTGACTTCTACTTTCTTAATCCACCAAGCAGCTGAAAGAAAAGCTCCCTCATCGTCCTATCCTGTGCATGCTAGGTCGCCTCAGTTGTGCCTAACTCTGAGACCCCATGGACTTAGCCCACCAGGCACCTCTGTCCGTGGGAGTCTTCAGGCAAGAACACTGGAGTGGTTTGCCATGCCCTCCTCCAGGGCATCTTCCTGACCCAGGGATCAGACCTGCATCTCTTGCATCTCCTGCATTGGCAGGCAGGTTCTTTACCACTAGTGCCAGCTGGGAAGCCCCCTATCCTTCTTGTGGCTGCCTTAAATATTTCACACAGTACTTGACTTCAAGTCTAGAATTCATTGATCCCTCCACCTTTTTGAACAAGAAAATGAGATTGGGAATTTTTTCTTCCAACTATTTCTTCAAGGATTCCGTTTTACTTATTCTCTAGTATTTTAGTTTCCTCTTTTTGAGGTAACCCTTCACAATCACTATAATTTTTTAGTTGTCAACAATTACTTAGATTTACTGCATGTTTGCCAATTTATTTACTATTTTTTCTTGTATGCCACGTCTTCCTTCTGAGCTCAGTTTTTTATTCCTAAAATTATCTTTAAAGAGTTCTTTCACTGTGGCACTAAGAGTAGTAAATCTTCAAGCTTTATTGTCAGAAACCATTTCTTTCTCTCTCAGTCTCAAAGGGTAGTTTCTCTGGGTACAAAGTTGTTGGCTGACAATCCTTTTCTTTCAATAGTTTGAATATGTTGGCTTTAACTTATTTTTAATATATACGTGTATATTTTGCTAACGGGGCCTTCACTGCTTCAAGGGCTTCCCCCAGTCGTGGAGAGCAGGGGGCTTCTCTCCAGCTGTGGGGCTTGGGCTTCTCGCGACTGTGACTCCTCCCGAGGAGCGCAGGCTCCAGGCCCACGACCTTCAGTCACTGCAGTGATGTGGGTTCAGTACTTGTGGCACACAGGCTTTGTCGCCCCGCGGAATGTGGAATCTCCCCTGACCAGGGGTCAAACCTGTGTCCCCTGCACTGGGAGGCAGATTCTTAACCACTAGACCACCAGGGAAGTCACCAACGTTTATTCTTATACATCCCTCTTGGGACCTGTGAGAATTTATGCCTTTGATCATTTCTGGAAAGTTCTCAGCTACTGTCTCTTTGAATATCCCTGCTCTGTATTTTCTTTACCCTCACACTGAAACTCAGATTAATTGTATGCAGAAGCTTTACATTGTAGCTTTCATGCCTCACAATCTCCTGTTACACGCTAAATCTATCCTTCTCCTTTTCTGAATCTGGCTGATTTCCAGTGACCAACTTTCCCATTTACTGTTTCTAAGCTCTGTTTATCAGCTGGTCAACTTTCCCCAAGGTCTCAGCTCCTTACTGCAGACTTTCCCCACCTCTCACCCAGAACCTGAGAACAGACAAGCCTCCTTGCCCTGTCACTGGGGCCATGGGGAGAGTTTTTCTGGTCCCTTTCCCTCTGTGTACAAACTTTTGAACACCCAGCTCTGAACAGGATTCTTAATATCAACTCTCCTCCTACCAGGCACAAGCCTTATCTTCTGACTCTGTATGGACAGAAAACATCACCTGCTTCAACATTAGGGGTTTTTATGGACCTTAACGGCCCCCTGGAAGCGGTGCGCTATCCGTTTCTTTATCCATTCTGCCTTTTGTTTCCCACCTAACTTCTGGGGCATGGGGTCTTTCCCTTCTGTCTTCTTATCTCAGCTTTGTGTCTAATTTTCATTTTATTTTCAGCAGTACTTCTGGGCTTGCCAGTTGGTAGAGAAGCTGTGAGGCAGAGGCGGAGCAGCTGGGCGAGGGTGGCTGCAAAGATTCAGAGTGGACAGGCTGGGTCTGTGCAGACTCGCAAAGCTAGCAGGGCACCAGCCTTCAGGCCTGCCAGGGCCACCAGGGCTTGCCGGGCCGAGATTCCTAGGAGCAGGGACAGCTGGGGAGAGAGCTGGCACTCTGCGCTGTCCTCCTACGGCACTGCTGACTTTCCCGCCACACAGGGCTCCAAGGCTGAGCCTGGAGTGGATGCAAAGCTGAACCAAGCACAGTAATATTATCGTTCCAGGAAGACAAACCTGAGCTCGGGACCTTCGTCAGAGGAGGAGAAAGCTGGTCGCTCACCTGACTCTCCACTGGGATCCCAGGAGGTGAGGCCAGAACCACCGGCAATCAGGACGTGGACCGGCCTGAGTGCATCTCAATCCAGCTTCAGGCCAGCTCAGTCCCTCCAGCATAGGACAGGGTGATCCTCACTGATCACATATAGCATTGTTTAGAGGCTGTACTTTCCTCAAAAAAAAAATCTTTATTTTTAAATTAACAAAAACGGTTTGGCTGTGCTGGGTCCCTGCTATGGTGCATAGGTTCTTTGCCGCCGCACGAGGGCGTTCTCCGGCTGCCGAGCGGGGGCTACCCTCCAGGAGCGGTGCGCGGGCTGCTCGCTGTGGGGGTTTCTCCTTGCGGAGCACGGGCTCCAGGGCACGTGGGCTTCAGTGGTTGTGGGTCCCGGGCTCAGCTGCCCCACGGCACGTGGCATCTTCCCGGACCAGGGATCAAATCAGTATCCCCCGCATCGGCCGGCAGATTCTCAGCACTGGACCACCAGGGAAGTCCCTATTTATTTTTATTTATACGTTTACGTGGCTGAACTGAGTCTTGGTTGCCGCACATGGGATGTTCAGTGATGGCATGTGAACTCTTAGTTGCGGCATGTG